AAGGTAATTTAGAATTATTTCCTTTTTTTAAGGTGGTTATGAGGTTGGTCAAATCTACCAACCCTGTAAAGAGTTACAGTATAGAAAGTAACAGATAAAATATAAAGTTTTTCTGAAAAAAAATTGAAATTTATTTAGGCGGTTTTAGGGATTACACAAATGCAATTTCAAAATTTTCAGACGAATAAAAGAATTTTTAATCTTAGCATAAAAATCACTTTGCACTCAGGGCAGTCAAAACTATAACTCCATATAATGACGGACAAAGTTTTAGAAAAATATGTAATTAGAAATTCTGATTGTTTGTCTACAAAAGACTTTTAATGTTTACTAAAAGCTTCCCAAGCTTTGTAAAGATACACTAAGTACTTTCAGAGATTTAATATGTATACCACCATGATTACATGGAGGTTACAAGGTTGTGTAAAATACATGAGCCTGTTGTGACAGGGTTAAACAAACAGGTTTTTCCACTTTCTTACGTTTGCACACTGGATTTTGTCCACTCCACAATTTTGTGTCAAGACACGTTCTCTCTTTATCTCCAACAAGACTGAAGTTCATGTGGCACGAATATTTAATTTTGCTCAAGTAGGTGGTAGTTTTGTTTACGAGGTCGAAGTCCCCATGGGCTACTGATTCAGGTTTTCCACAGTCGATAACTGTGTGAAGATTAGGAAATTATAAGTTTTCATAATTCAGTACTTGAACATGAAAGAAAACTTCCTCAGTCATGTTTCTAGTATGTTAGTATGGATATTTTAGTGCTTTAAGATGATTTTCTGCTTGTTATAACATAATTAATGAAACTGAGAAAATTAAAATATGGACAAACTCTGAAACTAAAGTATATACAAGTTTCATTAGTTAGTGTTAATCAACTATAAAAACTTATCAACAAAAAATAAAAACAATAGAACAAACATCAAACGATGGTAAGTTCACAATTTTCATGTTTTTACTTATGTGTGGATGGGCTGGACTCTTTACAGTAGGTGTCTGTGACTTGTTGGTAAAACTGTCTATTATTATAAACATTCTGAAGTTATACCATAATATAACTTTATTAAAGATAATGTACCTCCACGTGTGATCTATGCTAACCAACAATGTATATATGTATATATGATTTCTGGCTATTTAGCATTGACTAAATTATGTATTTAAATTTGATTAATTTAATTGTACCATTGCATTAATTATCAGCTGTGAAGCTTAATTTCTGAATTAAGGAAAATGATATTCAGTATGTTTTGTATGTTAATATAGACAACACTGGTCCTTTAAAATACAGCAACTATTAACTTCAAACTTACATTTACACTGAGGAGCACTGTCAGTCCACTTGCCACCAAGTTCACAATTTCTAACCTCATTCCCAACAAGTTTGTAGCTTTTCTCACAGCTATATTTGGCTTGGCTTCCAGCTGTCTGACCTGTGACCTCCAAAAAACCATTAGGTGGTGCTTCTAGTTCTGGACACTGGTTAACTGTTGAAAGTACAAGATTTTGAGATTTCTAAAACATCATTTAATATTAACATTTATTAACAAGTGCAATAATAATGTTAAAACCTTGCTATGTTATTTAAAATCCAACCTAATTCTACTAATACTGGTATATCTAAGTTTTAAGCCAACACATAATTAGAAACTAAATATTTTAGTCATATGTTTACCCTTAATTTATGTTCAAGAACTACCTTCAGTCCTTTTAACACTTTGTGCAGAGCAGGAGACCATGAAAAGAAATCAAGGTAGTATTCTATATCACATTAAGTTATTATAACAAATATTTCATGTCTGGAAAAAAAAACATGAGATCCATATTGACGGGAGAGGGATTCTGAGTTTTGGAAGTTATAATTTTCCTATACTAAAAATGTATTTCCAATAGGTACTTACCTCCATTCACAAAATTTGCTATTATTGTTCAGTGCTGCCCTCTAAATGCAAACTTTTTCTTTATGCTCCCCCCTATTGGAATTACAAGATTCCAACATGTCTCTCATGCAAATCATCATGTGTCACTTCCTCACCAATAGAGCATGACATAGGTTTGCAGAAGATGTCAGCACTGGGGAAATGTGTGGAGGAAGGGTGGGAAGTGTGAAAAGAGGAAAGTAACTATCAGAAATACATTTTCAGTATAGGAAAATTATAACTTCCGATACAGTACTTACCTCCCTCACAAGATTATCTAGAATCCCATATTGATAAGGAGGAGGAACCAGTGCAAGGAAAAGACAGAAGTATCCCAAAAGCATCTGAAGGATTCCCCTGGAAATGAGAGATTCAGATCCAAAGAGGGAAATGGCACACCTTCTGAGCCAGGTATGCTCTTCACCTAACTGTGGAATGTGTAAGATATAAGGGTAGAAAATGAGAAGCACATCTGGATGGGAAAGAATGTGGCAGGAATGTGATCCTAACCACAGAAATATACTGTAACTCAATCCCACGATGAGAAAGGTGGGTAAACAAAGGATATGCCCTAGGTACTGACATCCACATGAGAGTAGGATGAGGATCATACTATCTTCACCTCAAACCCAAGAACTGGAGGATTGAGAACCACTCCGATTCCCAGGTGTGACATGAGGATTAGCTGTGAGCTATTGTTCCAGGATCTTGACATCCGGTATCTGTCATATGCAATCAACTTCCCCAATTGTGAAACAGGTGGGGACCCTCCAAATGGCAATAACATCCTTGTAAGAGAGGATGAGGGACGGCCAAGAACCGGAACAATTCCATGTACCATCCACTGTGACCCACAACACAGATGGAGGAAATTGACGGAGGAAGATAGACAACCTGAAACCTGTGTGAGGATTTAATTTGATTGGTTCATTCTTAATCCAAAATGTGCCTGTGGGGTACCAACATCCACATGAGGGTAGAATGATGGCTTCCAATCATTGGAGGAACTGCATTCTGACATCTCCCTCTGTTGTCAATGGTTATCCCAAATAGGAGGATATCACATCATCTACATCCACAGAACACCACTGCCCTACTCTGTAAATGAATGATTATTGTGTGGAACTCATTCAACAGGGTGCCTTTATGGTCAACCACCCCAGCGGGTTTGAACCGGAAAATTGTAAGGATTTCCATACTCCACTTGAAGAAAGGAGGGTGACGATGCAGTGGAGAGTCCAGAGAAAAGTCATCACCTAAGGAAGTGCAATGAGTGACCACAAAACCTTATTTTGAGAAGCAGACCATACCGAGTTATTCACTCTAGGCATGGCAGAGATGGGCAGCAATCCCCTTCTGTTTTACCCATGCAGACCATGGTTGGTATGGTCCAGAAAGAGCATGTTTATGAAGCAAAATATCACAAGGTCATGCACCTACAAGTGATCTTGTGGAACATCCCATCTCAACAGTGAGCGTGCAAAGCCATGAAAGATAAAGCACGCTTGACAGTGTGGATTTTGAGTTAAAGAATGCCTGGTGAGGCACCACTCCCTACAGAGAAAGATCCATAGGATAAAGAAATATAGAAAGGCCCCCTAAAAATAAAGAAAGTATAAAACTTACCAGTTGGAGTCACACCAAAGTCTGAAGAATGACCACAGGTGGTAGGTGAAACCCCAACAAAGAAGAAACCGTGATATGATGGAGATAGTGGGAGATGAATGTACTGGGTGTGGTCCACATGCCGGACTGCAAAATCTTTTCCATTGGACAATGAAGACAAGTAGCAAGGGAAAAAGTGAGGTGTTGGATCTGATGGGAGAACACCTGGAACAAATTCTGGGAGGAAGTAGGTATGGAAGAATAGGCCACTCCACCAAAAGACAGACCCAACTGATAAGGGTAGAAGGTGAAAAATCATGGAATGAGGAGGATACCAGAGTTGAGAATGTGTACCCTGGAAGGAAGCAGTACAGGCAATAAAACAATGAAGAGAAGCCTATCTAGATCTGGTTGAGGATAAAGATGGGAAATGGAAAGAAGGGAAATAGGAGAAAAGAGGAATCACTCTCCCAAACTGCCAAGATCTTTGGGAGAAATGAACAATCTGGATAAAGAAGAGATAAGTAGGGTGATAAAGGGTATGTGAAACATCAAAGGCAAACAAATCAGACAGTCAGTGTCCACAGGCTAAGAGAATAATATATTTTAAGGGAAAGATGAAACATGGAAAATGAGGAAAATGGCTCAAACAGAGGTAAAGTAAGAGAATGGAGGACCACATTAACATCCCAATCTCGAAGGGGAGGTCACCTGAGAGGGCAACTTATCCAGAAGGAATGCATGAGTATTGTAAGGACAGGGGAAGTAAAAACTCTATAGCATCTGGAAATATGAAAAGGTATGGGATAAAGCTGCTTGATATCCCAAAGAAACAAGACCAAAGACCCACGGTCAAAGATCCAGGCGAGAAATTCTGCTACATGAGCCACAATAGGCTGGTCAGCGGGAAACCCCTAATTGTAGACCAACAATGGAATACCTTCTATTTGTGTTGGTACACTTCCATGCCAGATGGATGGATGAAACCAGCTAACAGGGAGGTGCCTTGACGTGTGAACCTGGATCTTCTCACCAAGGACCAGACAAAAGCCAGGCATGAAGATGCAGGATATGAAAGGTGAGATATAAGACATGTGACCTAGGTTGACAAAGAAGGTAGGGAGAAAATGGAAGAGAGACAGGAGGGGAGAGGAGCAGTCCCTGGAACCATGGAACTAAGGCTGGACTGACCAATAAGGAGGAATCAGGAGGACCCAGCAAGAAATGGAGTGCATGAGAGAAATCACCAGCTGAAGATACTTGTGTGACCAATCCTGGCTCAAGGCATCGACTGCTAAAGCTTGGGGATGAGGTACAGGAGACCAAAAGAGAGGTAACTTGTTGTTGAGGCCCATAGTAAAGGCATACACGTGGGGATAACCCTATCAATAGCAAAGATCCTTGAAAACGAGGGGTCTAATGACCACTCTGTGGAATATACCAGGTTGGGGAGCAAAAGATGAACCATGACCAGAATGAAAGCACCCAGCACATGACATCCAATAAGATGAATGTGATGTGCTTGGAACCAGGATAAGAGATCCAACATCTGAAAACAGATAGAACCTCACAAGCAGTTAGTGATGAAACCTAGAAGGCATAGTGAAGTAACAAGTCCATAGAATGAAACTGGACGGGAAATGGTTGAGCCCAACTGATAGGAGTGTCGAAAACATCCCCAAAAGTATGAGATATTGATGAGGTCTGAGGAAGGACTTCTTCAGTTTGTTTAACAAGCCCACTCAAACAGTCACTAAAGGGGGTTCCCAATATTTGGCTGGCCGACTCCAATTCAGAATGAGCTAGAAGAAGCCAGTCATCCATGTAAGAGAGAAACTCAACCCCAGAACATGAAGTTATTGAGCAAATACTCAGCCTACCTGACAGAAAAGATAAGGAGGTGAAGCAAACCCGAATGTTAGTGCATGAGATTGATAAACCACTCCAAGATGGAAAAACAAAGATAAGAATGAGACTGAGATGATATATATGTATATGGAGATAAACCTTGGCAAGATCCACTGTGGTCGTCCATAAACCCAGAGAAAACGCCTACCTCTGGGTAAGAAAAGACTCCATTGTAAACCAGGGCAGATGAATGAAGCTGATGAGGTGAGATCTATTTATGACCATCCTCCAGTCCCAGTTTTTTGTGGAAACAACAAAAGTCGGGAATAAAAACCTGTTGAAGGATGTAGAACAGGTTCAATGACTGCTGAGTTAGCAATTCCTGAACCACTTCCAACAGACCCTGACTGGTCACGGGATTTCGAGACAGAGGGAAGGAAACATGAAAGGTGGAGAAAAGGAGAGGATCATGAATCCTTCTGACAAAACCTGTAGAACTCATTGATCCTCAAGAAGGAACCCCAGCAATAAGTAATCGGCAAGCCGAGCTTCCATCGGACTAGAACCCACTGGGTACTCACTGGTACTGGTGGTGACTTGAGGTGTGTCATCAAAAAACAAAAACGAGAAGAGTCACCCCGAGGAGAAGGGACAGGTAAGAGTTGAGAAGGGGAAGGATGGGAAATGGTAATAGGAGGCATATGGAGCTCTGATTAAAACAAATGTGCAACAATATTGGTAAGGATAGATCGCTGTTGGACTGATGTCATCCATGATGCTATTGTTTCTGGGATCCTGTCAAAAATGTATCATTGCAGAAATGGGGCCATATGTAAATCCTAAAGCTAAGCAACAGTAAACGGACCTGAGCCAAATCTGTATCCTGACCTAAAAGGTTCCAACAACGGAGAAACTACATATGTTCAGTCAGAGTGGAAGACAACAAACAAGCTAATGTGGAGGGAAGAAGGGAAACGATATTCCCAGAAAACCCCTCAACCCCTCAAGATTTTCGTGGAGAGCCTCAGAGAAGAGGTGAAGAGAAGAAGAATACCATAAAAGTTGTAAGGTAAGACACAGGCGAGAATTCTTGGCATGGGTCAGACTGACAGGTGATGTTGGAGCCCCCCCCCCCACTCCAAACAGGCAGTATGGAACCTAACAATTGTTGGTTCAAAAAGGGACAATCAGCAAGATAAATTAATCTGCATGAACCTGAATATCAGGGGAGGGAGGAAAATAAAAAGAGTAGAAAGATTAGTCATGTAGTGAGGAGGGACTTGGCTCATAAGTAATAGGAGAAAGGGATAAAACATCACATACTTGAGAAACAAATTCAAAAAGACTGAGTTTGGCCTAACTGATCATTCAGGTGGGGAATGGGAAGGTACAGTAAAATCAGGAGGTGGAAATAGATGATCCAAGTCCCTGTAAATCTGAACAGGTTCTGCCTGTTGAGGAACTGGGGCGAGGTCCAAGGACAAAGGTTGGCCCATGCAACACTCAACTTTCTGATGGATAAATGCAGAAAATCTACTGTCGGGTCACCCGCTCCTGAGGCCTGAGAAATAACGCAAGTCGTTGGTGTGACCCCCGAAGTGGGAATAAGAACTTCAGAATTCATTGTGAATAAGAGTTCACCAAATTAGAGCAGTGAAAAAGAATAATGCGACTGGAACTAACTGATAAATTTTGTTAAATTGAAGAAACAATCATAATGAAAATTAAATAAATTAAAGAAAATCACTTTATGACGAAACATAAGCAGAACGTGAATCTTTAAACAAACAAAAAACACATCCAAACACAAGTGCTGCCAAACAAGAAATGATAGTTTGATAGAGGAATGTAGAGGGGGTTCACGTCTGTCACCTGAGCATGTCATGCTCCTATTGGTGAAGAGGTGATGCATGATGATTTGCATTAGAGACATGTTGGAATCTTGTAATTCCAATAGGGGGAGCAGAAGGCTTGTGGCATGCATAAATAAAAAGTTTGCATATAGAAGGCAGCACTGAATAAGAATGGCTAGTCTTGTGAGAAGAGGTAAGTACCGTATCGGAATATAACATTTTAAAAGTTAGTGATGTTATTACTTGGAATGGGGCTGGAGGAGAGTAATGCAGTTAAAAATGTCAGTCAAATATCAATTTGCAATGTAACTCAGACAGTCTTAAAATTAGTTATTGCACTTCAACTTTTAGATTAAAAAAATCCTAAATAGGTTCCAGACCTTAGATCTAGAGAAATACAGCAGAAATTAAGTGCTGATTATAAGATAATTCATAACAAGACTATCTATTGATAGTTCTATCTACTTTTACTGTAGTATGCATTAATGAAAAATTTCATACCTATCTGATAATGAAGCTATATGCCAAACAAACACTTACATAGACATTTTGCTTCTTTTCCGTCCCAGCTGCCATCTCCGGAGCATGTTCGAACTTTTTCCCCAACTAGCGTGTAGTTTTGATCACAAACATAATGTGCAGTAGCATTGAAATTTGTTCTAGCTTCTAGATATTCAACTTTTCCATTTTCAATATTTGATAAACTGCCACAGTCCACATCTAGAAGTAAATTATACAAGTTAAATAAAAATAAGAATGCACATAAACCATCTAACTGTAAATTCTATAATTCAAAAATTAATGAAACTAGCCAATTTGAAACATTGTGATTCCCAGAATCACCACTAATGCAGATATTACAATGATCCAGAGAAAAATGTTATATATTCATCATCACAGAATCACACAACCAAATGTTTTTATATAAATATAGTTTTACACTGAAAATCAAAAAATAAATCTTTTGTAAGTTTATCACACAAATAGGTAATTTTATGTCCAAATTAAAAAAAGGAAAAACTAATGTAGTATTTTCTGTTTACACAGTTTGCTCACTATGCACAAAATATATATTATATATATATTATATATTATTCTCCAAAATTACAAATGACAAATGTATTGTTTATCCTGAACATTATGAACAAGCATAATGAACAAGCCTTTTGAACAAGCCAGTGTTCAACAGTTTTGCCTACTTTTGGTACTAAAACCATGTGAAGCTTTCCAGAAAATATTTGACCAGAAAAAAAAAAATGTTGGCCTAAGTGTACCTTTTGTATCAAAGTCATTAATGTAAAATCTGCTTTAAAATGGCCCTCAAAATAACCTGTATTTTGTCATTAATCAGTGATAACAAAAGCAAATCGTAAAAGTAAGTACACCAAGTGTAGTAGCAAATGCTTGACTGAGTGACACAACAAAAGTATTTAGTGATCATGACCAACAGATCTATACTTTATCTCTCACAAATTTTACAATTTATGCTAGTATAAGCACTAGCAGCAGAAAGAAGCAATGAATTCAATCTCCATCTATTTTGCTGAGGCATTTACTTACTTCTTTTTTACTTATAGATAAATACTTATTCTTGAAAGCATCCACATCAGTGATGAATGAGAAAAAATATCAATTAATAAAATAATAAAATACTCTCTTCCCCTTCGGCTGGTCACTCTCATTCCCAGAGTTCATCTTGCATAGTTCAGCTCAGAATGAGAGTGTCATCTGGTGTCACTAGTATTTCTGGCTATTTCTTTCACATTGTCATCTTTCAAAGTAATCACAATTTTCAATCCCATGTAATCTATGTGTTAACGTGTAACATTACAGCAATATCCTGAGCTGCACATTAATTCCCTGTACAAGGTGCTTACCTTTAAACACAAACAATTTGTCTAGTTAAACGATAATGATTAACAATAGAAATGTCTTGGGTTGACAATTACACAAAAATGCATGAAATTCATCCACAAATGCTTGAATGAAGAAAATGCCAAAATCCTGCTTTAACTCAAACAGCAGATGATGTCTTACAAACACTTGATGACACTGAACCATAAGCTAAGCTAATGTCAATAGTCAGATATATAGATATACCATGAGGATACCTCAAATGGTCTTGTGGATATGAATGCAGATGATATGAGTACTTTCCATTATCCCGGCTCAGTGCTGATTTTCGAAAATAAGTATACCCTGGGAGGCACCACCAGCCTGGCAGGATCCTATAAGCAAATGTTGTAAAAAGGAAAAACAGAAACATACTCACCAGCCTAGAAATATTGGGTAGATTGTAGAATAGCAAATAGAGGCAGGTGGTATCCTTTGGGAATTGAGACAACCAGATGGTGAAGATAGTGGGCAACAAAGGTGTGAGTAGTAGTCCGCATGTCCATCTGAAAGATCTCATCCAGCAACCATTGGAGATGAACAGTGAGGGAATGAGAGAGAGGTGATGAATCTAATGGGATGAAATGTGGAACAATCTGCATAAACCCCCAATGATGAGCAAACCAAATGAAGAATTAGTTGGACCCAATCTGTAAGAGTATAAGGAGAAATGTCCCAGGAAGAAGGGGAATCCCAGGGAATGAAGAGTCAGTAATATGAGCCTAGAAAGTGTGAGGTAGATGATAAGTAGCAATGAATGGCACTAACAGGACACAATAGTCTGTCTTGGTTCAATCAATCACAGAGGTAAGAAAAAGAAGGAAAGGAAATAGGGGAGAAAGTTCAGTCATCTTCCTGAGTAACCTGAGGAACAAGCAAAAGTGAGGAAGGAAGAGTGTGAAATACAGGAAATGGAGCAGGCAAAGCCCTCTAATAGGTCAGGAAGGTCTCCAAAGACTGACTGGTGCAAAAATAGAGCCATATGAAGGTCATGCAAATAAGAAATGGGTAAGCACATTTGAGCTAAAAGCTTATCCCTACCCAGGAGATCCCAACAATAGACATGCCAAGTTTTTAGGGGAAGGGCAGAAGAAGATAAGCACACCAACATGGAAAACAAGAGGGAGCAAATATCTGCCAAAAATACCTCAGAAGGATGAGAACAGGAGATGAGAAAAATCACAGGAAGCCTGGAGGTATGGGGACTGGCAGCCCCCATTGGGATCCAAGGGAAATGCCCCAGTGAGGGGTTTCTATTACTCATCTAAATCTAAATAAGGTTTCAAGAGGGTGGAGCTGCAAGGTTTTCACTTTCAAAAATGCAATTAAAACCATTTCTTGGAGTCACCTGCTCAGAAAATCATAGTGAAATTTGTCTTATTATCTTCAACATAAATGACCAAGTACTGGTAGATGCATCTAGATGCAGTAGAAATTCTATCAGACATCAAAGCTAGTAGTGCTAGAATTGTATGGATCTGCTGGCTCATATCAGATGTAGCAGTAGCTTCTTTGCCTACTGTAGGTGCCTCCTTTGATGTTAGCTGTGCAAAATGATTTGTTATGTGGTGGATAGAAGCAGTGACATGCATTGACTTTTGTGGCATTTCAACTGAATGTGGTCTATTAATGCACCAATACCATGTGTGACATATTTAATGTCACATTTTGATAAATATAGCAAAATTCTATGCCAGGAGTATGGATGTTTTTGAAAAAATTCACCAAGCACATGTTGCTCTTTCACTGTCTCACCTTTCATGCTTTTTAGTTCAATTTCGACATCTTTATCCATCCATGCCTACCTCCAAGTCTCTCTACAATTTTTATGGATCTTTCAAACCATATGGTGTTCCTTGTCATCAATTATTTTCAATACTTGATCCATTTTAGTAGATATTATCAATGCTCAGAAGTTACAACAATGTTTACTCCATAATGCATCTTGATTAGAAATGACTCAGAATTTAATATAATCTAAAAATCATCAGCAAAGCAAATCCATAAGTATGTACAATTTAGTAAAAGACTACAAAAATATATCAAAATATAAAAATGAACCAAGTTTAGGACTCGGCAAGATTCACAGAGGCCTACCCCTCCCCATTGAAATTTTCTCAAATTTACACGATTCACAGGAATGAGCCAAGAGATACATGAAATTCTCAACCTTGCCTTCAGGGGGATGGTGGATAGCCTTAGATAAGAGATGGATAGAGGAGAGGTAATACAGGAGGGTGGGTGAGGGTCAAACAGAGATGGGAAAATCTCAAAGTAGTATCAGGGTCAGATCCTCACACCTGAATCAAAGACTCTTAAGTTCTGTGAGTCTAGAAAAGCAAAGTCTGAATGATGATACTAATGCATAGGAATCAGAGGCATGCTGATCCCAAATGAAATTGGTAACTGTGATGTAAATTGATTGGCATGGACCTTGATATCTGAAGAGGGTGGGAAAACAAGGTAATTCAAGGAAAGAGCAGCAGGTAGGAGGAAAGAGGAGGAATTAAAAGACACAGGGGATACATACAAAATGGAATATATCTGGGACACTATATCAAAGAATGCAGGAGGAGGTCTAAAATTGTCCACAGGTGTGACACAGAATTTCATGACAAATGAAGAAGGTGAAAACATGCTATCTAAATCCTCATCATCCTCACCCGAGTTTTCCAGGAAATGGTATGTCTGGTTTTGGTCAGGAGACACAGCAGGCTGCATCACACACTCCAACTCACTGCAAACTAAGACTGTATGTAACTTCCACAACAGAAAGAATGGAGCCCAAAGCCTGAGCAATTTGAGGTTCAGTGGCAGTAGTAACAGCAGTAGTAGTTGTTGCAATGTGAAATTGTGAATTCATAATTCAAATTGAGAATGACAATTTTCAGATCAACCTACAGTATCAAGCTCAAGTAGAGATGACAAAGTAATAACCTGGAAACAACAAAAATTACTGTTCTACAAAATATTTGAAAAAAACCATTGAAGCAAACACAAGCAAAAAATGAGATATTTCTGCACTCTAATATGCTAAATCGAGAAGTGAAAATTGGGTTCTACAGTATAGAGGGAGTCACCAGCACTAGAAAGGTGTGGTGCCCTGCTATTGATGTAGGGCTGTCACATACTTATTTGCATGCTACAGTGCAGCTGTACCACATTTAAACACATGGGGGTAGGTGGAACATCATATTGAAATTGAGCAAAACTTGCACATATAGAGGACAGCACTGGACAAGAAAAGCTATTATATGAGTGGAGGGAATGTATTATATTGGAATGACATTGAGGTCTTAGTCAGGCATGGGAGCAGGAAAGGGGTCTATGAAGAAAGAAGGAATGGAAAAAGGTGGAGAGAACTGGAGAGAAAAACACCTTGCAGTATGTAGAAAGGTGAAATTTTACTGAGAAGGCCACAGAATAACTGGCAATGGAGGAGATAGCTAATCCCCATTTGAACAGCTAGGCAAAGAAAGAAGAGAGATGGCTGATAGTTAGATGGTCAGAAGGAAGGTGATATATATATATAAGATGTGGAACAATGACAAAAGACATGTCTTATGCTGGTAGATAAACAAAGTGGAAGGGTAACAGGAATGAGTAAGGAAAACGGGTACACAATTAGCAAGTCTGGTTGTATACGTGAGGGACTGGACAAATCCCAAATGCAAAGTAGAGGGTTAAGATCCCTTAATGGAACTGTTGTGTGTGTTTGAAGAAAGAGAGAGAGGGTAAAGTGGTAGGGGAGAGGTGGTTTGGTTATCAGGCAGTGTAGAAGAAGGAATCAAGATTGAACTGGCCAGAGGGGTTCCACCAATAGGACATGATAAAGAGTGTTGCGAATCAAGGCCAATACACATGGTAAACAACAGAGAGGTGGATATAAACAAAGGAAAGGTGAGACTAACACTAGCTGAGAACATCAATAGCCAGGGCCAAGGGATGGGAGAACAGGAGACCAAAAGCAAGGAAGCTTGGAATTGAAAAAGGTGGCAAGGTATTAATGAGTGGAGTTTCCAAGAGAGAGCTCACCCAACAGAAAACCTTGGGGTGAAGAGACCATATCATGGGCAGAACACGATGCATTTGAGAGAGGCAGTCCATAACCATGTTCATCATAATGCTAGGTACATGAGATGAACTCATTGAGAACTGGCCCAATAAAAGGGTCCAGAGTTTGAAAACAAAAGTTCCTGAGTTAGGTACCCCTTGACAGTTGATATAGGAAAAAAACCATGGATTTATCAGAATGGATTATAACTAAATGATCCATGAGAAGTAAGAACTGGTAGCACATCTGATGGTGTGCCAGAAGTTTGAGCACATTGATATGCAGAGAGAACTAGTCCTAGGGTTATGTATCCAATGTGCAACTGTGGTTCAAAGATGCTCCCAAACCAGAAAGAGAAGCAGGTCCAGATTAGGTGGAGGTAATGGAATATTGATAGTGGTATTGGATCACTCAAGCCACTAAAACAGATCCTTGAGTAGAGAGAAGAAGACAGATGAACTATTGAGGCTAAAGCTTCCCAAGAGTGGTTCCACTGGTAGCACAAGGGTCATTGGAGGAGGCACATATGTGTGCAACCCAAAGGGTTAATTGGTTTCCAGTGAAGCCATGAGCCCCAAAAGCGATAGAATCTCTCATGCAGTATGAGTAGCATAGGCAAGAATACTGGTGACAAGTAGTTCAATAGCTCACAAGTGGATGTAAAAAAGTTGAACGCAGCTGAGAAAGTAGTTGAAAAACACTCCCAGGTGAACAAGCTATTGTGTGGAAGTGAGGAAAGATTTGGAAGTACTGACAAACACCACCTCCTTTACATGTTGTAGACAGATGGGATCAGAGAGAGGAGAAAAGAAAATGAGGGGGGGGGTGAATTAAAGAGAAAGTCTGTGAGAAAAAATGTGAATAACTCATCTGTCTATAGGAAAGTTGGGCCAAAGACATGGAAATTGCAACATACAGGCCCCACAGGACCCGATTCAACTGGGTAGTTACCAACAAGCTTGACGAGTCTGATACCAGGTAGAAGTCAGATGGGTAGAAGAGGAAGATTGGGAAGTGGAAATTGAAAGATGAGAAACAGAGGAACTAGGTCAAGGTACAGAGGTGGAGGTAGGGTTTGGAACAGTCTGGAAACTAAGGATGAAACTGAGAATTGATGATGGACTGCTTCCACCCATGATTCTATAGAATCAGGAATGCCCCAAAAACTTCAGGGCAAAGAAATGGGGTTAGGCAAAGATCTCATAAAAAGGAAGAAGAAAGCCAAAAACTGGGAAAAAAAAAATCCCTACCCAACAATTTACAGCAAAATAAGCCAATGTAGCAGGGAAAGGGCAGAAGAAGTAGAATGAATCACAGTGGTGAAGAGAAGGGAACAAGAATTGTCTGAAAAATCCTCTAGGACACAGTAGAGTGCTTTAGACATCAGGTGTAGAGAGGAGGGATAATGAAGTATAGCAAAAAGGATCAAGCAAAGATAGAAGTATTGGGCAATGAAGGGCAAAATCAACAACAAAGATTCCACCCTCCAAACAGGCAAGAGAGATTCCAAATTTTGGAAATCGAGAAAGGGGAATTCAGGTTGTAGGAATTTTGTTGGTCAAAGATGGAACCAACATGAATGCCAGTGTCAAGATAGGTAAAATGAAAGTGCTTAAGGTTAGGGTTATGAAGAAAGGTACATGAAGAATCATATGGCACAGGAAAGAGAAGAAATGGTACATACTTGTGATATTAAGTCCTGATAATGCAAGAAAGTTTAAGGATTCTCTTCAATATGGAGAGAAGTTCCCAAAGAATAGCCAGGAGGAGGAAATAAGTGATCAAATTCATCCTCTTCATTCTCCCCTCAAAACAAAGGAATGCCTGAAGAAGGGACTGGAGCTGAAGGTCTTGACTGTGGAAGGAAACCCAATACTCTAAGCACAATGGCCATCACATTATCCTCAGTCAATGTGCCTTCAGAAGCCATAGTTGTTATATATCCCTTGTGAGGAAATTATACACCCACACAAGTAGTAGATGTTACATGAACCAGTGAGTCCATAGTTCATAGAAAAAGGTAAAATTAAGTTCCTTAAACCTCACAAACCTCATTAAATTGAAAAAGAAAAACATGTCTGATGTGTTCAGTGCCAAGGAAAAGATTGAAGATTCATGAGTGTAAATGTATAGAGGTAGTTAGTATGCAAGGAGATATATTGCCCTCCTATAGGTGGAGGGCTTTTGCTGCGTAATGATGTCATTAGACAGTAGTATAATTCACAATACATTCTCATGAGATTAGGTGGGAGTTCACTAGAAGCAGACATGCAGGGAAGATAAATTAACTGTGTGAATAGGTATGGTATTGTCTTGGAATCATGTTATACCACTACTGGTTATGGTTGCCCTAACAGTAACCTTAGCACAAATATTTCTTAAACTACACTTTCAACCAAGTAAAAATAATAATATGGAATTATTTCACTTCTTTCCAACTGTACAAAGGACTTTCATAAAATAATGCTGAAGTATCTACAAACTTGATGTATCCAATGCATGACAGAAAGCAGCCTATTACATGAGTACAGAGATGAATAAATAATATAGAAGTTGTATAAAATTATTATGCACTTTCTTGTTTGTTCTTTTTTTCCAGTTTTCTAACCATGATTGTTTTTGTGCATGTCTTTCTTCCTGTTAACAGCCTTTTAGTCAAAGGTTTAAGTATACAAGTAAATACTTAAAACTGAAAAGCCTGTCAACCCCTTACAAAACATATTGAAGATTTAACAATGGCTTACAATAAATCAAATTATTTGACTAATAGTCAAAGGGAAAACTTACATTTACATGATGGTGCTGACCCTGTCCAGAATCCATCTGGAGCACATGTCCTTGTTTTGTTGCCAACAAGCATGTTTCCATTTGGACATACATAAGTGACTTTCTGGCCTACCCTGAAATTCTCCTCCAGAATTGTAGCATTCTCCTTTCTATCAGGAGTACCACAGTTTGATGGACCTGCACAGAATAAGTTCTTCAGTATCAGATATTTAAATCACCTCTAAACATTAAACCATGTCTTAACTCCATATGATATTTACAATTTCACCATCTTACCTTTTGGTCCTACTATTTAAATGTGTAAGAAATAAATAATCCTGTATTAGGGACCACATTATTAATGCTTATATCATGCTTAAACCTCCCAAACACAGAGTGTCTTAAATATCAAGCAGTTTTATCATTTTATAAGCATCCTTGTCTAAACTGTTAGCATATTTTTAAGGATGCTGTATAATACTTTTAACAATCTACATCCCTCTTAGTTACAGAGGTAGCATGGATTATTGGTTTAGATTAATTTGACATTAAATGTCTCACAGAAGCAAAAATAGCTAAAATTTATTTAAGTTTCACATATATGTACATTAGAGAAACATAGTCAACCTAATTACATAATAAAAATAGTAGTAGTGGTACCATTGTGTGAGTTATTTAAATAAATGAAAATATCAATTACATTTCAGAAATAATTCGATCATCTTAATCAGGCCTGCCAACAGGGGGGCAAAGGGAGCAACTGCCCAGGGGCCTGGGCAAATTAAACCTGGTTATGCCATAAAGCCTGCAAAGCATTTTTAGGCTATATCTTCATTTAATGATAAAAACCATAGTTTTGGCTTTTCTTTGCATATAGACGCTTGATACATTAAGAACGACTGAAATAATAATATGAGTAATAATTAATATGTATTTGTTACTTTATAGAGTTAACAGATATTTGTTGTTACTGTATTAATGTTTTTACGCTTATACTGTGAGGTAAAAATGGCTGCTGCTATAATTTTGTCTGGTTTTATGAGCTCGTTGCTGTCCTAATTTGTGATCTTCTTTTTAATAAATTCTTGAAAATGTTAAAAAAGAGAGAGAGAAAGGGGGCCCGGCAAGGATGTTTGTCCCGGGGCTCATACTGGCTTTCAATGTAGATGATGAAATAACACAATAACATTGTAACTGTTGTATGTATAGAAGAAACAGCCAACAATTTTCTCACAACAGTTTAACTTCGAAAAGACTGTTGGTAGTCCATAATTATAAATCTGTCACAGATTTTAAAGATTATAACATAAATTTATCAACAATATATTCATTACAAATGTGCATTATATACTATAATCCAAACTGATGGCAAGCATTGCAACAAATTAATGATCTAAATAAATATACAGTTAACATACATTTTAATGATCTAAATATACATGCAGTCACTTTACATTTCAGTTCAACAATACAAATAAACAAGAGAAATATGAAATTTAATGTTAAAATAAATTTCTTATGACAGAAGGGTACCATCACCAATAAATATATCATATAATATAATAACATAAGCATGCTAGTAATTAATTACACATGTGAATGATTTCAATAAGTGAACTTTAGACAAATTATCTCCTATTCAATGTTTCTAGCCTTTAAAGGGCTTGTAATTTTGAATTTTCAAAACTAATAAATAGGTTTCAACATAAACATTGCTTGTTATATTTTGAATTCAAATTCAATGTGATCTTTTGCTGTTGCTGGTAAATAGTTTTATTAAAGATTTTAGTATTTATGAATGACAAAAAAGAGCTGACATTTTCTGTTCATCATAACTCTATCTAAACTCTAGTTACCACTCAATTTCTCCCAAATAAACCTTACATTATGTTTCATCAAACAAACCTTAAAATTAAGTTTTGCTTAACCTAGCAAGCTAAAATCATCACCAGAGTTTATACTGTGTTAAAAATTGTAAACATCTGTGGCACAAATCATGATATTCTGTGACATTAATTTACTGCCTTGCATTGTATTACTCACTTTGGATTAACATTTACTATTTGTTACATTATTCACAACTAGTATGAATTTAACCTTTTACATTATAATAAATTAATAATTTTCTGTAAAAAACAAAAACAGACTTAAATTAAAACTTAAAACTAATCAAATATTGTGTTCAACTTTTTCATCTTAAAAGAATTTGAATGTCTAAAAGATATGTTTATTTTACATGTACCACTACTTTAGTAGCATTTCAAAACAACTTAAATGAAGTCTTTTTTTCTTAACTTTCATTACCATAATTCTGAGGCTCCAATGTTAGCCTGAGATTGTAGTAAAAAAAAAGAAAAAAATCTAGATGACTGATCAGAGACTTTCTTCAGTCCCCAAATAATTTTAGACAGTTCTCTAGATGTTTATATGATTTAATTCACTTCATTTGTAAGGCAGTATCAGAAAATTGATAATAATCTTTTGATACTTTCAATACTACAAAAAGGACATATATAAAGGTTAAATGGTTGCATATTAATTGACATTAAGTAGGTCAGACATAAAATTGTACATATACAGTAGTGGTTTCAAGATGCTGGATTTATGGAAGAATTGTTGAAGCAATATTATATATATTTATATATATAAAGTGAGTAGATATTATTTTTTCAATCCAGAAAGGTACAAGATCATATGATCACTGTAAGATAAAGGTTGATAAGCCAAATAATAATAATCAAAGTGACTTGTAAACCAATGTAAAAATTAGGATTGTTAATAACATACCACCAGTATTAACTAAAGTTTCACCAAAGACATGTGAACAAGATCCATTGTGCTTTATGCAATACATCATAAAATAGATAGTGATTACAAGTAAATGGGAAACACACCAAAATATTACTGTCTCTATGAAAGAAAATTTGGTAATGTCTAAAGAAATTCAGCTTTTTAAAATTCCCAACAGTCAGTTAGTTGTTAGAGATTGTGAATCATAGAAACCCTGGGAAGGGGCTAAACTCTTGTTTTAAATAAAATACTTACCATATTGGCAGATCCATGGTAAAAAATCCAGGTCACAGGTTACATCATTCCAAAGCCATTTCCTCCCACCATCCAGCACTACACAGTTTTGTTTGTTATTGTAATTGTTGGGTTGATCAGGAGCCCATAGAAAACTTATAACTGTCTGATCTAAGTTGTTCAAATAAAATCTTAATGTAAAAGGATAAAACTATTTACATAAAGTTGTACTTAATTCAAAATAAAATCTATAACCAAAGTTACATATTTATATTGATATTATTGTATTTATTCTGAGTGAATATTATTAAAAATACTTAAAAAATATATCATAAAGTTAAGCACTTTCACCAGTGGTCTACAACAGAAGTGTGAGTGGGGGCAAATGGGTGCAAATGCCCTGGGTTCTCCCAGATTAAAAGGGGCTCCCCAACTAATAGAAAAATGAAAAAATTAATCAAGCATTAGATGTCATCTTGAAAAACATATATTTGGAACTGTGTCACTATGACAACAGCAATTTGCTTGGCCACTTAAAAATATTCATTGTCATTACTTTATACTAGTAGTCCTTACCTGAACAAAGGACCGATGTTTAACTATTTCTAAACAGAAAGGATTTAAATTTCACTTTTCATGTAACAATACATGTCAAATGGGCATATTTCTGTGAGATAAATGGCTTAAGAGTGTAAAAATTAAAGAAAATAAATGAAATCATTGTAATGCCTCTGGATAAACAACATTTTTGGCTCCTTATGGAGTCTCACTGTCACTTTTATTGCATACATTTTGCTGCTCGTGATTGGCAATCAGAGTTGTTTTTCTTTTTCTCAATATTTTACTCTGAGATACATAATCAGCACCAGAAATGTTAATCATACCTAACTTCCCTTCTCCCCTCCCAAAATAAAGTGAATAAAAACCAATTTATTTTTGAAGAATTTTGAAGGTTCTATTTGCCTATTCTATAAAAAAGTTAGTCTTGTTTGTCTGTACACACGACAACATTTGATAAATTTTTTTATTCTGACACCACAACAGCAGCACATATCTCTATAAAATACACATACATTTTTCTGACATTATTTCCACTTAAATAAGACCAAAAATCCAGTCCGTCTTCTGTGGAAAAAATTAAATTTTATAGTTTTCATTGACACTAAAAATCTTATGTCATAGATATTAAACCTGAATACACTTATTCCATACTTTTATATGGGCTGAAAGATGTGAACAGACAGACACAAACTTAACGTAATGAAAGTTTTGCATCATTCATATATCTTTCAATGTTTTTTGAAATAAGATCAAATTTGTTTTTTCATTGCATGGGTAATAAGTGTTTTATTAAAAAAGACTTTTTATTAATTTGAAAATCAGAAATTGAGTTTGTTCAAACTCTTATATGATAAAAATGCGAAATTACCATTTTTATTACAACTTTTCTGATCGATATACAAGTCAAATTTTTTTCTATATGAGGATTTATTTGTAATAACTTTATAATAAAATTCTTGAACCTCACACATATTTTGAAAATAGTTTTTTAGATACAAATAAACAAGCATTTAAATATAATAATTTCCACCAATAATTTGATTTCTAGCACTTATATGTGTTTTCTTTTTAAACCTGTTGTTATAAAATTATTGTTTTACATTATTGGCAGAAATGATAATAAGAATTGTGACACTTTTATGCATGGTTTCTTTTTCAAAAATGTTAAACAATAACAGTTTCATAACAAAATGTTTTAAAAAACCCTTTGTTTTATAAAATATAGAACAATAACAGTTTTGTAACAACAGGTTTTTAAAAACATTGTATGGAATAAAACCCGAGCTCTTGTTCAGCCCTTAATTTAACAATCACTCTCTCAGCTAGCCAAACTACTCAAAGTACTTTGTAATTTAAAATCAAAGACAATATTTAAAAACTTATACAGTATCTATATGGTTTCGATGTAAAATTAAATACAATGTATTAATCGAAGTATGAAATATTCCTGTATTTTTTCTCTACATAATACCTATAATTGTAAATTCCTTATGTTTATTATATAGAAGCTATCAATTTATATTCTTTATTCATCATAATTCTATGCATTTAATACCAGATGTCAGTTACTGCTGTGACTGTTGCCTAGATACTTATTTTAAACAGAGTTTTATCACCCAATACATTGTTGCTAAGTGCATTATTGCCCAATAAAGGCTCTGGTAAGATGGCCGAAAGCTCGCAAATAAAAAAGTAATTTAATTTAGAAAGATAAAAAAAAATGTGTATAAAAAAATAATACCCCAGGTGCACACCCCCAGAATTCCCTTAGTATCTGTTCAGAGTTTCAGGTCTGTAGGTTATTTCCTCTTGGAGCTATGGCATGACTGACTGACACTCAAACACCCAGACTGTTTTATTAGTATAGATTTATTAAAAATATTAAAATTAGGGCTTTGTATATTATCCACCCAATTTTTGTGCTTGTGCATTCCTCAAAAAGTATTTAAAAATAATTTTGAATACTGTTTGACTTATTCATAAAGTTCAGTTTTGATGGCATCCCCCCCCATAAAAAATTTGCCCTGGGTTCCACAAGTCCTTAATTTAACCTGCTCCTACACCCATACTTTACATTTACTTAGGCTTACCCATCAAGAACTTCAGTCTCATACCTGTATTATAAAACTTATTCATTTTGGCTAGAGTTAAGTGATTTGATCAATTAGTCAGTATAATAGAATACCTAGAATTAGCAATTACATCAATCAGTATAATATACATTAAAATATTAATCGATTGATGTCATGAAAATAATCAATTACTCAAATTAGTGTTTCGATTATTACTGTTTACAATTATTCCAAGAACTGATTAATGGAAATCAAATTGTCATGAAAGCTATAATATTCCTACCTGAAAATATATTTCCAGTATGTACTTACCTCTTCCCAAATATATAGATACTCTCATTCAGTGCTGCTCTCTGTATGAAAAGAATGTTTCATATGTCACAAGCCTTCACTTCCACATACCCCACGATTATTGTGGTTAACCTGCGCCTCGCATGAAAATCATCATGCAACAATCCTCCACAAATAGGTGTGCGACATACCCTCCTGACACGTGTCATTCCTTATATTTGATTCTACTGAACTATCATTTGAAGTTTAGGTAGAAAAGGAGGTACCAGTTTTCAGTGGGCAGGGCAGGTGTGAGAGAAGGTAAGTATCTATCAGAAATATATTTTCTATATAGGAAAATTATAACTTTCGATGCATGCATTACCTCAGCTCACATATATAGCTAGCATCCCACCTTCAAGAGGTGAAGGGAGTGGCACAAGGGATAAAAAAGCATCCTTCAAAAGTATCCAAAGAACACCTTATACTGATTATCCTCTTAATAAAGAACCATACTTGGGAGCACCACTTCTGTACCAGATATACTCTTTGCCCGGTGTGAAAAGAGGTGTCACAGACACTGGCAGAAAAAGTGGAGGAGCACATCCTAAAGGAAAAGAAGATGGTTGGATTGGAATCTGAACCACATTATATCATAATCTCAGTCTTGTTGAAGAGAGGCTGTAGATGAATTCTCTACAGAATGTGAGGGAATACGAAACTGAATGTGCTCCAAGGTGTAGGATATCTAGGGTGCGACAGATCGTATGCACCACATGTACACAATTCCCAACTAACAAGACATTTCGGAGGTCACACCATACTAAAACTCAATCCAATAGGCACACCACTGCGCAACAGCAACTTCGGCCACAAAAACTCCTTGAGGTGGAGTATCAGAGGGAGAACTATTGCCTCCTTCAACATCATCACCCCATTTTGTGATCATGAGGCAAACCGAGTAAGGAATAGAAAAAAAAATAGGCAGCACGTGTGAGAACTTATGTTAATTGGTCCTACTCAAAATCCAAAACCAGTCACCAGGAACCGACATCCATATCATGGTAGGATGAGGGATCCCAATCGAAGGAGTGAACTGCAATATGATGGATCAACTACAAAACTACATCATCTCCTCAGACAGGTTCGTACAGCATAGGAATGCATCACGAACTTCTGGATATCACTGAACAGAAGTGGATTGCCCATATAAATAATATGCAACTGCACCCTCCAGAAGCCAGGTACAACATCACCCTTTGGAGCTCACCATACAGAAATGGAGCATATTTATTAGTAGACTTGCATAACATCATCCCCTCGGAGAGGACCGTAGAGCATTGTAGTACATCACAAACTTTCAGGTACCACTGCACAGAAGTGCATTGCCCCTATAAATTATATTATGCTTCACCCTTTAGATGTCACAGAGGATGGGCACAACATCAACCATCAGTGCCCACTATACAGAAATGGAGCACATATAGTATTGTACATGTGTAATTTCATTGCCTAGAACAGGGCCATGCAGCATTGAAGTGCATCACTAACTTCTAGGTACCACTGTGTGGAAACAGATCGCCTCTATAAATGATGCACAATTTCACCCTCCAGACAGTCACAGAAACTGGGCACAATATCAACCCTTCGAACCAACCATATAGAGATGGAGCACATGAGTGGAGGATCAGCATCATCAACACCAGCAGAAGACCACCACCTTATCTCAACTGAATGGTTGTTGTGTATTTATTTATTAGCATTAGATCACATTCAGGAGGATACCTCCATGGTCCAACACTCCAGTGGCTCAGAACTGGAAAGTTGCAAGGATTCCCATACTCCACTAGAACAATAAGGGGGATAAAATTTGGTGGAGAGTCTGGAGGAATGCCAACACTGGAGACAGTGCAATGGGTGACCATGAAAACCCTATTTTGAAAAGCAAGCTGCCTCTGATTTATTCGATCGAAGGGATGGCAAGGATAGGCAGCTAGCTCCTTCTGTTTTACCCATGTAAGTCCATGGGTTAGTACAGTTCAGAACAGGCATATTAATGAAGCAAATATATCGTGAGAGAAAAACCTACTAGCAATCTTGTATTAAACCCCATCTCAACAGTATGCCTTATTGGCCATGGTATTATTGTATTTTATGATAGAATCATGGCCTTACAGTGCAGATTTGTGATACATTAAGTATATCTGGGAAGGCAATGCTTGCCACAGAGTGGGATCCTGAAAATAAAAAAGGACATGCCCCTGATGGAAATTAAAATGTATATTAAAAAAGATAACTTAACCAATCACAGTCTCACCAAAGTTTGAAGGATGGTGACTGGTAGAAAACGAGGAAGAAACAGCCACCGATGCAAATAGTGGGAGATGAATGTATGAAGAGTAGTCCACATGCTCACTTGAAGAACTTCCTCTCACAGACGACAGAGATGAAATGTCAGGGAAAAGGTTAAGTGCCTGATCTGATGTGACAACAACTGGAACTGATTTTGGAAATAAGGAGACAAGGAGGAATAAGCCATTGGAATTAAAAGCCAAGCTCAACAGGTAAGTGTTGAAGGAGAAAAGTCATGAACAGAAGAATGTTGCCAGGGGATGAAAATATGGGAACGAGAACCACAGAAGGAAGTTATGCAGGCAATGTCAGAATGAAGAAAACATGCAGAATATAGAAGCTTATCTGGATCAAATCGGAAATAAAAGTGAAATGGTACCGGGAAAGACAGAAGGCCTGGAAAAAGGCTGCTCGATATCCAGCAATAGATGAGATCGAAGTCCCATGATTGAACAGCCAAGCGAGAAAATCTGTAATAACAGGAATGGTGGGTCGAGAAAGTGAAAAGCCCTGACTCAAAGACCAATGGCAGAATACATTCCACTGACATTGATAAAAGGAAGGGCAAATGTAATGAGCTAAAAAGGAAGCAACCAACCAAGACAATCTGGATCTCCTCGCCAAGGACCTGATAAAAGCCAGACATGAAGACAGAGGGTAGGGAGGTCAGGATGAAATACCAGTAAACAAGGTTGACATAGAAGGGATGGAGTGAGAGGAAGAGGTAATGGAAGAGCAGTACAAAGTTGAAATAATCAAGGAAATTAGGGTTGTGCTGGCCAGTAAGGAGCAATCAGAAAAACCTGTCATGGAGAGGCACAGATGATTGAAATCACCAGGGGAAGAAGATGGATGGGAGGATAAATAATAAAGTTATTGGTTGGTCTAAACCTGGCTTGTGGATGAGGAACTGGAGACCAAAAAAGAGGTAACTTGGAATTGAGAAAGGTGGCAAATGCATCCATCTGAGGAGTACCCCACTATGAGCATAGCCACAAATAACCTGAAGATTGAGGGACCACTCCGTGGGATATATTTTGTCTGCTCTGGAAAGATGATCCACAACGAGGTTGAAAGCACCTAAAACATGACACACCAGGAGACTTATCCCAAGCATGTGGGCCCAAAAAATTAGATCCAAAATTCGACCACAAATGGAACGAGAATGGGTACCACCTTGGTGGTTGATATAAGCTACCATTGTAGAATTGTCAGAATGGATCCTGACAAGTTGCTTCCTGATTATAGGAAGAAAATGATCAAAAAGCTTGTTGTGCCATCAAAAGCTCCAAGATGTTGATATAGTAAGATCACTCAGTCATAGACCATTGTCTAGAAGCTTCCTGCTGATCGACCCATCCCCCCCCCTCAACCATATTATGGAAGCACTGATGAAGAGATGAAAATCCGGGCAAAGAGGAGGAAGTGGTATACCCAAAGGTGTGTGGGCCTTATTCAGCCACCAATGCAAATTATTGATGAGGGAAGGAGGAGGGGTAAAGGGAGAATCCAAGAGATCTCTAGCAATATATCATTAGTCATGCAGAGCCCACTGAAGAGACAACACATGTGCCTGAACTAAGGGGACAAGCCCCCATCCCCAAAAGCGATAGAACCTCGTGAGTAGTAAGAGAAGGAGCAGCAAGGGCATGGAGAACTGAAAGCTACATCAAGTGGAGTCGAATAAGAGAAGGTTGGGCCCAACTGAGGTGTGAATTGAAAAAGACCTCCAAGTGGACAAGCTATTGGGTAGGAGTCAGGAAAGACTTCTTTAGCTTGATAATCCAACCTGAGCAGCTTCCTACAAGAGATGAGTGTGACATGAAGACTCCATTTCGGAATGAAATAACAGAAGCTGGTCGTCCATGTAGTAGTATAAGTGTAACCCCTGAGCATGATTAAGTCAGGCAAAAGCTTTGACCACCTGAGAAAAGACATTTGGAGCCGAATCAAGCCCAAAGGTAGCATCTTCACCTAGGAGAAATATATTGAGAAAGGACTTCATTGTAAAATGGGGAAGATTGAGAAATTGATTGAGTTGGGACAGATCAATCACAGTATGTAGTCCCCGGTTTTCTTGAGAACCACAAACAGCTTGGAGTAAAAGCCTGGGGAAGGATGGCTGACAGGCTTGATAGATCCCTGTGATAGTAGTGTGTCTACCACCTCTGACAGATGTTGAGTGTTAGTAGGATCCTGAGGTAATGAAAAGGATATGGGTACAGGAGACAATGGGGTGGAGAAGGGAATTGGATGATAAGTCCTTCTAACAAGACCTGAACACTCTATGAACGGTAGCAAATTCTCGCCAGGGGGGAACAAAATCGGACAAACAAGCTCCCCCACTGTACTGGAACCCACAGGATAGTCACTGGTACTGCTGGTGCTGATGAGACCTGTGTTGATAAACATGTCACAATGTGGAACCCTTATTGGGAGGAACAGGTAAAGGATGGGAGGGTGTCGAACATGGAACAGGGGATTTCAAGGGCCCAGAGTGAGACAAACGAGCAATCAAGAATGAAAGGGTCAAATGTTGCCTCACAAATTCCACATGTGATTCCAAAGTTTCAAAAATATTCCCAAAAACAGACCATTGGAGAAAAGGAGCCATCTGCAAGTCCTGAAGGTTAGTGGGCAGTAAACGAAGCTGGTACAAGACAGCATTCCTCCCCAGAATATCTCAACAGCAATGAAACAGCTGAGGAGGTCAATTTCACTAATGTAGAGGTAAGGATGAAGAAGGTATCCAACAAAAATCCATCAGGAGATTGGTGGAGTGCCTCAGAAAGAAGGTGCATGGTGGAGAGTCATAAGGGTAAGATGAAGGCAGGACAACTGAGCCTGGGATAAATGAACATGATTGTCAGGATCAGCCCTTATAGACAGTAGTGATTCTAACTGCTGAGAATCAAGAAAGAGGTAATCTGCTTAATGGTAAGGCAAGGAAAACTGATCTGTGGCCCATGGAAGGTGAGGCATGCTCACAATTGAGAAACAAAATGCTCACCATGAACCTCAATATTAGGAGAAAAAGGGAAAACAAAATACTGGGAGGAAGGGATGTCCTGTAATAAGGAAGGAACAGGATTGTGAGAAATCAGGGAAATTGTTAAAATAGAACAAACCTGAGAAATCATGTCTAAAAAGACTAAAGTAGGCCTAGAAGATTCTGCAGGAGAGGCATAGCATAATTGGGAGGAGTAAAAAGGCTGTCAAAATCCTCGTCATTATGAACAGATTCAACAGGTTCAGGAGGAAGTCAAGCACTTTCAGGAGAAGAAGGTCTACTCAGGTAATGTTCAATTTCCCAATGAATTGAGGCTGAATATTCCTCAGTCGAGTTCCTCCCTACATGAAGCATGTGTAATTGTATCATTAGCAGGTAGTAGAACCTCCGAAGTGGTAACATTAACTTTGTTATTCATCATGAAATGACGAAAATTTGAAAATTATTCAAATAGAAAAATAAGAATAATCAAGATAAGTTATCACTCAAAACTTTAACAAATAAAACAATAGTAAAAGATATAAATGATATTTCCATTTCATATGAGAAAATTAAAAAGAAAAATGCATGAGGAGAGTACAATCAAAACACTTCTTGAATATAGCACTGTCTAATAAGAAATGATAGTTTGGTAGAATTGAAGTCGTGTGTCAGGAGGGTGTGTTACACTCCCATTGGTGGTAGATTGTTGTATGATGATTTGCATGTGAGATGCAGTTGGACCACATAATCGTAGTGTATGTGGGAGTGCAAAGCTTGTGCCATGTGAAAAAACTATTTGCATATAGATGGCAGCACTGAACGAGAATAGCTCTTAGTAATAACTGGATACTTTAATTTTGATAAATTGTTATTTCCGAAGTGGTACATTACTTCTCTCTCACACACACACACACATATATATATATATATGTAGAAAGCGTTTTCAACTATCCATGTAATCAAAATATTGTCATTATGTAATGCCAGGCAGTAGAATGTTAGTGCTTAATCTTTTACTATATCTATTAATATTCTTAATATTTGTTAAATGAAAATTTAAATAAACAACACCAAGAACTTGCTACCAGAAAAACAGAAACTCAGACAACAAAACTTACTGTTGACCCAATTCCATTGCTGAGACACTACATCAGATTCACGCTGAGCTCCAAGCCATACTAATTTGGACTTTAAATTACTTTTCACCCTCTCCAGTTCAGATGACAAAAAATGATGAGTTATATTATTCATGGAATGGGCAATCAATCCTCCACGTTCCCGGCAATAATTGTCAGCATCTTTGAAAGTACCTCCCTTCTCACCCTGAAATTCATAACACGTCTGGTTGAATGTGGTCAACTTCAAAGGCTCTAACTGATTGGCACATCGCTCTGGAGAGAGTTCTGAGAGAAAAAAATCAAAAGAAGCTGTGTTATTTAATTAATGTTTTAACTGTTAAGGCAACTTCCACATTTATTTCACCCCAAAATACTAAATCATTTATATATATATTTTTTTTTGCTTATCAAAATGTATAACTACTCAAGTGCTACATAATGAACTTGTATGCATGGATGACACATGACTGAGCTGAGAAAATGGTAGAAAAATCAACTTTATTTTCATCCAGTTAATTACAAAACCATATTCTTCTGTCAGTTAGGAAAATTATAAATTCATGAAGATGGCGGCTGCTTCATTACTTCTCAAATATTATCTTTTCATTATCTAAATTACTGTTGTTTTTAGGTAGCAGTAGTACTAGTTATAGGATATTTAAAATATTAAATTGAAATAAAGAATTATCACAAATGTTTGCTAAACAAAGATAAATTATTTATCTTAAGAGTTGAAATTATTGTTTCTATTATTAATTCGTAGTTGCTGAGAATTTAATCCATTAGAAAATTATTTACAGTAGCAATTGTTTTAGTTACGTGCAACTAGAGAAGTGGTGTACATTGTAGCTAGCACTACAAGGAGTGTATGTGCATAGGGGTAGATATTTTTCCAAAAAATGTGGATCTTTTCTCCTACACAAAAAATGTAAGTGATTTACATGAAAATAAAATGACTACTTAAAAAACAATCAGAAAATAGTGGACCTTTTAGAATACTGAGGTGGTTGTTCAACTCCTCCCTCTGGCTGTGGCACTACTAATCAATAGTACCACTTAACAAAGGATTTTGGTGTTACATTTTCTTACAATTTAATCTGTAAACTGAGAAATAGCTTTATTTAAATATACAAAAGTGTGTAGATTGATAATAATGATTAGTAAAACTTCGATATGATTAGAGGTACTTCAGGGATAAGTGGGGTGGAATTTATATAATCCAAAGGTGCTTGAGAATTCTGGGCTTCATTGTAATTTTCAGGAGTCTTGGGAAAATGTGGTGCACTACACTTGCAGAGCTTGCTTATGTAAGATAATTTATAGATAACTTTGTGGAATATTGCACTAGTTGTGTAGGAAAATAGTAGATTAAAAGCAAATATCAAGAAACAAGACACAAATGAACAGAGTTAGGATAAAAGTTGATTCGGAGGAAATTGAGAATAAGAGTGTAAGGTTTACAATGGTGTGTATTATTAAAAACGTTAATGGTACATATGCAAGTTCAGTTAGCATTCAGGTACTTGCAAGTCTCTAATAGATTTGAGCCTTTGGCTGCTTGAAAAAGATTAATGAGTTGATCCAGATGTTTACATTGTGGGAGACTTATCATTAAGTATACTTATAAAGTTATTTGTACTGAAGAACAAAGAAAGGCTGGAACTATAATTTACTTTCCAGGTATTAAAATAGGATACATTATATAGCATGTTGAAAGATTAGTTAGCAGGTATCATGGATATTCTCTTTGTGTAGTGCACGTACGAGTGAGTGATTTTGGAATAGCTGCTTAAAAAGTATAAAGAATTGCTCAGTAGTTCAGAAATAGATACAGGTGTATTGGCTGAATGCAAAAATGAATTACTTAGCAATAGCTAAGGTTTAAATTAAAGATTATTCTGATCATATTTAGAGCAACAGATGAGCTGGCAGGGCCTGTGGGATAGTTTTCAAGTTTTTATGGTAAGATTGAATTATATGCTAGAGATGGACTCACTTAAGCAAGCTAGGTAGTAGGGCATTATTATTGTTCTTTTCTTAGTGCACTTTGTCCACTGCAGGGAATCAAACCCTGGATTTTAGCATTGTAAATCTATAAACTTACCACTGACACATTGGGGTGACAGTAGAATGTTTGGGGAGGCTCTAGATATTCATTAAAGATAATTTAAACTAAACTTATGTAGTAGTAAGAGAAAATGAGAATAAACAAACTGATAAGAAGCTAGGCAATAATGGGATTGATAAAAAGAGATTCAGAGCATAATAAGTTAAATAATAGTTTTAAAGATAAGCCTGTCCTATTTAAAGATAAACATAGTTGATATAAAAATAAGCTTAGTTGCTATTATTCTAAGATTAGAAGTATTAAGAACAAAAATGGATGAGTTTAAGACTCAAATTGAAATAGAAGACTATGATGTACAGATGGTTGAGTATGTTGTGTTAAAATGATTTTGAATATGAGAACCAGCAAATCATGTGGCAACCACATTTGATATAAAGTTGTGGTTGTATAGCATGGATTGTATCTTGTGTTCAGGGTTGTTATTAACAAGGATGATGATGCAATAATTATGGGAGACTTTAATCTTAAACACACTGATTAGGACTGTATGAAGTCAAATTCTGAGGGAGACATACAATCATTATATAACTCTCTTATCTCAATCTGAGCATTCTATTTTTATTTGATGTTTATTCTAAGATATTGTTCTATTTGATGCTTAGAATAACTGAATTAAGCTTCTAATGCCATATTACTTTTCCAAAGGAAAAATTCAAAATACTTAGCAAAAAGCAGAAGATATTAGCACTGTTTAATAATAATAATAATAGCCCAGAGAATTTAAAAAATTTTAAATAAAAAATTTAGGGCATGCAAGGCCACTGTTCAAGACTCAATTTCAAGAACAATCAGTATCTGTATTAAGCATTATAAGCAGAATGATGAATACAAACACTAAATTACCTTGTGTAGTGAAAACTAAAACTTCACAAAGTGAAAGTGAACCTTCAATGCCCACCATTTGTATGTAAACATATCGACCAATGATGGGGTATGCACACTCAAAATCTTTCGTTGTACCATCATCTAGAAAAAAAATAATGATAATAATACAAAGATTAACAAAACTGCTGTGACTTGAATAGAAATTAGCATAACACACTGCTTCCTAAATTTGATTTATGCTGAGCTTCGAATCAGACTAGTTTGGACTTCAACCTCTCCAGTTCAGCTCCACATTTGATTTGTCAAAAGAAACCTTTTCATATATGTCATACAATTAAAAGTTAAGTTAAAGTAATGTAAGGTATATCATATTAGAATATCTGTATATAATAAACATTCATTAGTTAAAACATGTACACTGCTTTATATGTCATTTTAAATATAAAAGATTATCATGTATTCTTAAAATATTTTATCATTATTTTTGCAGATTATAAACAGTGATAGTAAGATTAAAATTTGATCTGTGCAAGAAAATGCACAAATGACAACACAATTTCTACAGACACTACCAGGTTTCTGAAACCAAACAGTAAGTTTAATTCAGAAGCAAAGACATTTTTCTGTTCATCTGTGAACAACTAGTAGAAGCCGTTTGCCCTCTGCCTCCTGAGACTTGATGGAGTTGTTAACATTTATGTTATATAATTGAATAAATAACAGCTGAAGCCCATTGAAATTGCCTTTTGATGGATAAGGAACATAAGAATTTTGAATTCTAACTATGTTTTTTAACATGATTTTAATCAAGGGCCAAATATTCACTTATACAACATAACCATATAAATCTATATAGAAATATTTTTTGTTTGTGATGAACACAGTTATCAGCAAGATTACTGTTCCTCTGCAATTTAGGCTTAACAAAAGTCACTGTACATGTAACTTGCCTAAGCAACATCTAAAAATAGGAGTTGACTCTCCACAACAAAACTTGTGAGGTAGTAAGTTAGCATTATTTCTTTAATCAAATACATGCATCTGTTGGCACATATCTTCTACTTTATTGTTGATTAGCCTGTAACATTGTGTTATGTTAATAGTTGTAAACATGTGGCATCAAAATATGCTGAGTTATGGTATATAAATACTTAACTGCCAAGTTAAGAGAAAAGTTATGGGTTCACATTTCTGCAGACACTACCATGTACATTTTAATCTACTGGTGCCCAATTGGATTTGCCACTCAGCATGTGAAGTTCACTTGTCCAGTGTTTACAAAGTTTCTTGTATAATTTGACTTTATGTGTTAATAAACAGTTCCCGATATTACTCATTATTTATCATTACTGAGCTAACCAAGGTGATTGTCAACGACCTTGTCCTATATGGGTACAGACAAAGTTCAACACAAATGGTGACATGTTAATAAAAGTTCAATTTCTGATAGAATTGGTGATTTACTTTAACAATAACATTTGCTGAAGCAATTATTTAAGCATATAATACTCACTTTCCTCATCAAATTATAAATAGATAGCCTGTTTTACTTGCTGCTAAAAGTATTTCATGAGTGATTATTTGCTGTATATGAAAACTAATGCTTCATATATTTATTTTGCCAAAATATGCTTTTAATATGCCACATAATAAATAACTGAGAGTTATCTGCTGACATTCTTTGAAGAGGTTACTGTTTATGAAAATGAGGCTATAAGTTTGGATTTCACACATCTGGACTTTCATAAAGCATTTGACAAGGTGCCACCTAAAAGTCTTGTGAAAAAAAAATCTCTCTTTAGGTATGGGGGATCAATTGAATCACTGGATCAAAAAAATGGTTGGATGAAAGAAAACAAAAGGTTGTTATAAATGGAGTTCAGTCAAACTAGATTAATGTCACAAGTCAGGTATCTCAAGTTAGAACTTTTGCTTTTTCTGATGTAAATCAATGACATAGATGAAAGAATGGTCAATAAATTGGTTAGAGTTGCTAATGATATTAATATCTTGGGTGTTTCTGGTTGTGAGGAGGATGCTTGGATGGTTAATCAGTCTCTTAGCAATCCAAGCAGTGTGTTATTGCTAGTGGTAGGGCAAATAGAATTTTAGGTTGTACTTACAGAAATATTGAATATATGTCTACAGATGCAATAAGTTAATTTATACGTCACTGGTTAGGTCCCATTTGGAGTACTCTGTTCAGTCTTTGGTTCTCTACCTTAAGAAGAACATTGAACTGTAGGAAAGGGATTATACCTTAGATGTAGAGGTTGACATATACAGACAAGTTAAGATCTTTGAAATTGTTTTCTCTTGAAAAAAAGAGGTGTTATAGAGGATCTGATTAAGGTGTTTAAAATTGTTAAGGAAATTGATAATGTTTATACATACTTAATGGTGAGAATGGTAGGACAAGGGGACACAAATATAAATGTTGGCAAGATAGAAGCCATCTTCAGCTACAATAGTTTTACTTTTCTGACAAAGGGTTGACCTTTGGAGTGGGTTGCCTTCATATATGTTGGATGCAGTAAGTTTAAGGGAAGGTTTGATAAATATTTATATTTTAATTAACTCTTTCAGCATGGGCTCAGTCCCTAGGACCAACCTCGCAACCTTTTTGTGCTTGTTATAGTTTCCATGCTATAGCTTTTAAATTAATAAGCTTACATTCACAGAATTTGGCAGATTATCAGTAAACATTACAAGGCTTTCATGTGCAAAATATCAGATTTTTTTATTAAGTCTTAAAGTTTGTAATGCAATGTTTTTCTCATGCCTTTTTTCTTTTGCATGTTGCCTATCCAACATGTAAAGTAATTTTCATTTTAAAATTAAAAATACATTTACGAATCAGAAAATTTCACATGCAAAATCTTTATAATGTCTAGATAGTTATCAAACATTTCTTAAGAAAAAACTTTATATTTTATCTCTTATTTTCACAAACAAATCTTTGTATGGGTTCAGTCGATTTGACCTATCTCATAACCACCAGAAAAAATTAGTAAATAAATATAAATCATGCCTTTTTTGTTCTAGAATGACTACATATTACAACACGAAAACACAAACATTTAGAAAAAATAGCTTAAATCTGATAACATTATACATTCATATATATATTTATTATTTTTATTATATTGACCTTTCAGCCATGCCTGACTAACAATATAGAAGTAACAATGGTGTGGCAAATGTGCATTCATGTTACAGTATCCAATAATATAAAACTGACCTTTAGTCTTTACAAAGTGACCTGTCTTGGCTGTGTTTTAGTAGACTAGTATTTAATAAAATACAGTAACATTTCAATTATTATACATTATATATGTATATAGATTATTATTATTTAGAAATAAGTTATTAAACATATTTTTCTTAAAACATAGAAGCAAACAATTATCTCTTCTAGTTACGACCTTTGTACTCAGTTGATGCTATGGAGAATAATAGCATGATATAATAGTTTCTCTTATGTCGTGTTTTTCAATACCCATGAATAAAAGAGTGAAAAGACATCATCATATTAATAATCAGTAACAATATTCATGATAAAGTAAACCCTCATATATTTATCCAACAGTAAAACTATAAAAACAAACGTATGTGAGAATTTGAAGGCTAAACCTAGCACACAGTTACATGATTTATGTAACATGCAACTAGAGATCTAAAGAAGTATTATGTGTAAGAACAAATGTATTGATTTATAATAGTGGAATGTGCGAGACAAAGATTTGGTGTTAAGCTGAGGCAAAAATTAATCAACATTCAAAAGGACTAAAGAACAAATTATCATATAAGTGGAAATGGCCATTTCATTGTGACGTACTTAGTGAAGAAAAGTCAAATAAACTGTTAACAGTGGTAACTCACATGACTATAAAAAATAACAGCTACAAGGTTAAAACATGGACAAAACTTCAACAGCAAGTATCAATCCTTCAGGATAGAAATGAATCTGCCTGAAAAAAACTGATAGAACAGCATTCACAGTGCACATTCTCTCTGTAACTGGTCCATCAGAAAGACAGATTCCAAGAATCTGGAAGTATCTCTGCTCCAAGTGACAGTCCTAAAACAATCCTCTAAACACAAAGGGTAAACACAATGAAACCATCTCATAAAACAGTATGTAATTTCCTTGACTAATCATGTTACAGAAAGTGACAGCTTATGCTGAGTATAACACATGGCCTTGACTGGACACAGGGTATTCCATATTAGAGCTAAGAAAAGGAAAACAAGATCTGAAGTATTTGTATACTATACACACACACAACTTAATTCTGCAAATGCAAGAATAAAAATCAAGAAATATGGTAATTCACATCTAATTAAATTGATATATTTCTCACCAATGAATATACATTGTTCTTACCTATATTTCTTGGATACCAGGCACACAAACGATTACCCTGTACAGTGGAACTATTTCCAATCCTGATCTCCAGGTCATGTAAAGGCTGTTGGCCTAAGAAAGAAACATAATCACTATTACATATCTGTAGACAGAAAGATACAACTATTTGTATTGCTATCATCTGTGAAGCATTCACTGTTTTATACAAATGTATGATAATTCCCATTCGCACAATACAAGTATGCTGAAATTATATTTCCAGAAATGATTACCAAAATCACTTACAATAAAAGTAGTTATATAATTATAAACAGTTATATAGTTATAAACAACAGTGTGAACAGATCCTATATCTTTAGATCTAAGTTGGTTAATAAAAGATTTATTATTCTCAAAATAAATAGGGTTATACTGGATTCATTACAAAGCAAATAACAAGTTACAGTAAACTTTAGCCAAATTTCCAAATATCTATTTGCTATTTTTATGCGGTGGCTTATAAATTATTAAACAGCACATTACATATGACCAAAGTAGAAAAATTATTATGTTACTTAAGAACTTAAACATATATGTCCATTATTTCTATAATCACAAATTACAAGTTTTACTAATATTTGTCACTGTTCTGATTCAATGTTTGATTGATCTACAGTAAGCATAACCTATAAAAAAATTAAAATGCTAAAGAAATATTTGAAAATGTTTCTTGATAGGTTTTAAAAATGAGACTGAATCTTCTTACGGACAAAGAAAGAAAGATGTAAGTTTCTAAAGTTCATATAAACTACTTACAAACTTAGCAATTTTAATGATTCTGCTACTGTAAGTGAGTTACCGAACACTGTTAAGTTTAATTTATTGCACAGTAGATCTACATTAGATTTGGAATGGCTTTTCTCATTAAAAATGTGTTATCAGGTGCTTTTCGCTTGTGAATTTTAACCTATAACAGCTACTCTTTTTTTATTCAAATATACTACTTCCCATACCTTTCATCACTTTTTTAATTCTCCATTCATTATAATTTTCCCCCTTCCACCAGTACTAAAACCATTATTTGTATATTTGCTATTATTTTCTAACACACAATATTCACCAAAACTTTCTAAATTTTAAATGTTCAACATATTATTCAAGTTGTTGTATACAACAGAGTATAATGTTGCATTATCTCCAAATAATAAGTACTATCATCTGCACAAATTACAATCACATGACAAATAAAATGGCTTATTATTAATTGAAATTATAAAACAGACAAATGTTTAGTTTTTCTACAATATAAAACAAAGATTCAAATTACATTATCTGCAACATAAATGTCAAGTGCCTTTTTTCAGTTATTGACATTTATATTTATAGTTAAAGCAAATGTATAAAATCATATGCTTTAGTAAGATTGATTAATACAAAATACATCTTACATATTATTTCATAGATATTCTTCTACATATTAATATAAAATAAAAACATGATTAATTGTTCATTAAACTTTTTCATCATTCTGTTGAAGAAAGAAATGTAAATTACTATTATTAAGTATTAATATTTATTATTATACCTCTTATTTCACATACTAATGAAAAGTTGTTCACATTCTGTTTGCCTTTAATGAGAAAAACTCCACTTTACTTCTCTAAGTTATTTGCATTTTCTTTCTTTTCTAATTACATAAAATTGTTTTGGAAAATACCCATTATTTAAAATCAAATTAAAACGTCATGCATACGAGGATGTTGACAAATTATATTTTGTTATTTCATCTAAGGAACTCTAGCTTCTAAAAGATTATTTTCAAATTTCAATAGCTGAAATTAAAATCTTTCTCTTTTATCAGACATTAGTCTTTTGAACACACCATAACTTCACTTTATTTAGTATTCCTCCTAAACATGGAACTTAATATTTTCAATTTATTTACCATATTTTCTTGAACATGGAACTTTCTAACTAGGTAAAATCTATGTTGAATTCTGTGAATCATAGTCTTCAGATTTCTTAAATTAATTGTTTTTATACAATTAGGATATAACATTAATTTTAATACTTGCAAAGTTACGTAAAAACATATTTTATGATATAGCTGACTAAACGAAAAGTAACAACTTTTAGTGTTACATATATTTATTTAAAAGTGAAGCACAAAAAGAAATCTGTAAAATTGTGGAATAAAAGTATTAACAATGCTATATACACTAGTATCATTTTAGTCAGTTGTATGAATTGTTTTTGGTATATCAGTTACCATTATTTTTAGGCATCTTTTTCCTTTGCTCTCGTATGCTAATCTGAGATGTGTGCTAATGTCATGTTTACTCTATACTGGTTAATACAGTGTAACATGAAATTTGTGTGGCTTGTTTCTGTGAAACATTTTCAAATTATATGATTTAGATAAGTTGAAAATGCACATTTTCAATTTTTATATATGTAATACTGTTTTATATTGAGGATTGCTTTCCTTCTTAGGAGTTAATAGTCTCTGGAACAGTTTTTACCAGATTTCTCATCCTTGTTGTCTTAGTTACAACAGAAACCTTTTCAATATTCGGTTAGACATTTTTCATTTGTTCTTAAGTTCTCAGGACAGAAGTGAATCAGTGAATCAATCACTTACAATTATGTGCTTCATTAGGAACCATTGATATAAGTACCACTAGATGAATAGGTCCATTTGAAAGACAAATACTACAAGTGACTAGAGAGGTATTCACCAACCGAATTTTTGTTACATTTAAAACTGCTGGACATTAAAAATCCACTATTTACAAACATTATCCCCCCCAACCAATGGACCAATCTGAAATGGTTTCTGTCACTCTTTCGTTGTTGTAGTTTATCTTTGTTTGTTTGTTCTTTTATTTATCACGCAAGTTTTTCACTGCATATCTAAAGTACATCATAGAAAGAAAACACATTTGAAAAAACATTAATACTTCATTTTTGAAAGGCATATAAATACTTAAATAAAGAAGTTAATCTTACCACAACAACCTCTAGTAAATATTCTCACAACTCTTATTTCATATTCTTGTAATAAATCCACTTGCCACCAGGGCGAGTTGTCTTTCCTTGTTTCCGAGCAAAATTTATTTTCATGAAGTGTTGTTGTGTCTCCATCATTAGCATTTTGGGCATTTCCACCTCTTGTAGTACTAGACTGATTAGCAGGCTTTCCGTAAGCTACATTTACGGCTGTTAAAAAAGAGAGAGAATAAGAAAAGGGAGTTGTTGTTTTTCTTTAATAATATATAATTTGTAAACTAATAACTTGTTTGTTTAAGAGAATTGTAAAAACTTTTAACGTTGTAAAAAAAAGTAGCAACTTTCTAAAAACCAAAATTGACTAGAAGATTGGCAATATCCGTGAGTTATTGAAGCAGCACCTACTTATATTTTTCAGCCGATGTTTTTTCTTAAACTAATCCTAAACTTTACAAGCACACACACAAACAACATAAAGCGAGTTATCGTTAAAATTCCATGTTCAGCATGTAAAATTGCCATTTGTAAGTTGAACTTAAAAAATATATAAACAACACAGAAACATTATACTGAAAGTGTATATTAATAGCGATATCCTTAAGTAGGTTCTAAAACAACAAAATGGTTTATTCAGTAGAAAATAACTGTTCGCTTAACAACAAGCAAATAAAAACATTGTGACAATCTTGATATGTTCATAATATATATAAACATTACTTGTTAAATTTTTCAGACATTTATTTTCTTTTATTCTGCCTTCCTCGGTGGCTCAACACTAAGCTTGATAGCTTTTAACGCTAAAATTCGGGTTATCGATCCCTGTGATGACACAATGCAAATAACTCGTGTGGAGCTTCGCGCTTAAGTAAAAACATTAAAGAAATATTTTTCCATTCCGTACACAAACAGAATAGCACAAAATTGGTCAATAAATCAAACACAAATGTTATTACTTTGTAGGCCTGTGATAATTTAAATAACAACCTAGTATGTATATATATAGTTTCTTGATTTTCGCAACAACTAGAAATTTCAAGGATTTAGTATGCAGAAGGATACGTGTAGTGATTTGTAGTGGTAAAATTGAAAAGTCAAGACATGGCGTTGAATATACAATTCAAATAAAACACTATTTGTTGACGAAAAACTGGAGGTAAAAATCTGGTCACCCAATGCTAGCATAACTGAACTTAAAATGTAAATTGATTAATTAGACATTAAATGTTAAAAGAAAAAACCCAAACAAGCACGCTCAGCGATCTATGGAACAAAGACGAAACTTATACAGTAAGTTCTTATTCTTTTTAAGTCAAAGTAAATTTGCTGAAAACTACCAAAATTCATTTATAGTTCACTTTCTCTCTGTATCTGACCAATCAGAAAGCTGGATCACAAGAATCCGAAATTATCGATACTCTATGTGTAAGATACAAAACAAATATTTCGTGAAATAGCAGATAGCTTTTGTAATCGAACCCTAATGTAGAAAGAAACTCCTTGGGCTGAGTTGAGCACATGACCTTGATCGTATTTCGTGTGTTCAAAACTATAAGTAATAAAAACATATTTTTTATAAATATTCAAAACTATATACTAGAGAAGAGTGAGATATGTAGTATTTCCATAATATAGACCCAGTTCATTTGAAAAATATTCCAATGAAAGCAGTATTATTTACAAAGAAACCTGATTAAATGATAAACCAATCGTTTTTTACTAATATGCGTTTTTTTGAATGGAATAATTTAATTGTTTAACTATTCTAATGAAGGAGGTTAAAATACTTAATTTGATTGAATAGCTTAAAGTCAGAAGGAAGCCCCTTTAAATTCTTTGTGATTAAAGTCCATTGCGTTATCTGCTAGTCTTCCCTATTTGAACTTTAAACACTTAACTACAGCGTATTTGAATGTTTTAAAGAGAAGTATCCAGGTTTTGCTGGCTTTGATGTTAGGTTGACTGTGTTATCGGTTATCTTTCCTTTCCTCGAGTGTGATTCATATCCTATTATTTCAGTATGGTCTTCTCTTCTGGCATGATGGGCTTTTACAGATAGGTCGGTATTATCGAATCTTGCATGGCTATTATGCTCTTGAATTCTAATTATTGTTTATCAGGTGTATTGGTATCCATATTCACAGAGGAATGGTGTAAATGGTGTGTCATCTAGCTCTCTACTGGCTATTTAGATGGTTTGGTGTATACTCATTGCGATCGTATTGTGTTGTGACTTCTGAATACTGTTCTGACTTTAAGTTGTTTACATAATCTTTGTATATTTTCAGAGAGATGTATGACATTGGTTTGTTTGTTTTTGTTTTGTTTTGTTTGTAATTAAGCACAAAGCTACACAATGGGCTATCTGTGCTCTGCCCACCACGAGTATCGAAACCCGGTTTCTAGCGTTGTAAGTCCGCAGACATACCGCTGTGCCACTGGGGGGCAATATGACATTGGTGATCGTATGCTAGGCTGTTAACCATGACAATGATTGATATCTGATCCCACAACCGGATGTATTCTTTAAATTTTGTTTTCCCCATTTTATTTTTAAAAGAAAGCAAGCTAGATACTGGGGAAAGTCCTGGTGATTGAATAATTACTAATGTAATCCCAAATCTAAAAAAGAGAGGGGTCCAGGAAAGATCCATGGAATTTCAAGTCTATTGGTTTCACTTCTGTTTTTAATAATAACGTAAAAAATCATTTGAATATTTGCATTTAATAAAGAATTTTCAGTCGTATCTGATCAACTTATTTGAGTTTCTTTATAGAGCTTCTACTTTGTTGAAATAGAACTCTTTAGTAAATGTTTTCTTATCTTGGATTTCAGAAAGTCTTTAGTACAAGTGATCCACAAAAGGATAATTAGTGAGTTAGCTACTTGTGGAATTGACATAAAAAGTAGGAAGTTTTTTAGAAAATTATATTGTTGGTAGAGTGTGGAACTTTCCAAATTGAAAAATATAACTAGTGTAATCTCTCATAGATCAATTTTGTATTTTTTCTCGTTTATTAATTATGTTACACACACGTACGCAAGGGAGGGGTGTCAAGGGGGTTCGGCCGAACCCCCTATTTTTGTTACTGGTGTTTTCCTAACAAAATAATGCTGTAAAGAACTGACTTCACTAAGAGTGAACGTAGATGATTATTCACACCGTATCTTCAATCACAACAGTAATGTTGCAAACAAATCTAATATTAATGCTAGCATGCCACGAGTTAGTCAACCACAAGCCCAACGTGCAAATGTAGAATATAATTCCACAGAGGGTTACTTTAAGAAAACGGTAACCATTCCTTTTTTGACCACATTATCAGTAATCTTTCCTCCAGATTTGATGTACATGTAAAGCAAGCAGCATCAATTCAGAAACTTAAGTCATCAAAGTACACACGAAAGTTTTCTATCTCTGATATCAGATAGGCTATAGATCGTTACAGGGAAGATTTGCCAGATCCTGATGTTTTGGATGAAGAACTTCATTGGTGGAAGACAATATGCCTTTCTATAATTCTCCAGGGCAGGCCCTAGATACTTGCTGACTGCTTACAAGCGTACTTCAGTATACCAAATATTTTTATGTTACTGAAACTCTTGGCCACACTGCTAGTAAGTTCATGTTCATGAAACATTCAGCATCTGCTCTCCGTCGTTGAATACTTACCTGAGGTCTACACAAACCGAAGAAAGACTGAGTTCTCTAGCTTTAATACATAATCGTTATGACACTGCTATCAACATTGCATGTAAGTTATTTATAGAAAAGCACCTCAGAAGGATGGAACATGCTAACATATTATATCAGTAGTGCATACATGTACGTATATGATAGCCAATGATTGAAATAGCTAATATACTATTGTTGCACAGAGTTGTTTAAATTAACAATATAATTTAACAATTAATAACTACTCTGCATGTAGATAGTATAGTACTTTACTATAATAAAACATACATATTTATACTAATTTAAGTCTAGTTCCCCATGCAGTGTTAGAAGAGAATGATGATTTGTGGACTTTTCATTGGATGTTTGTGGATTTTATGTGAAATTACAGTCCAACAGTAGCTCATCGGTAAGCTTGAAGGCTTATAACTCTACAGTCCGAGGCTCGATTCCCCACAAACAGCACATCGCCGAGAGCTCATTGTGTAGCTTTACGATTAACAACTTTGTTTGTATGTTTGTTTTTAATTATGCACAAAGCTACACAAAGGCTATCTGTGCTCTGCCCACCACGGGTATCGAAACCCAGTTTCTAGCGTTGTAAGTCCGCAGACATACTGGGGCCCGATTATCAACTAAAAACTATTATAATTACACAACTGAATTGCTTTTAAACAAACCTATAGGTTTTCAATAAATAATGTGTTTTTCTTATTTTTTGTTTATATTTAACTCTTTATTAAAATTACTTATATATCACTTCAAAGCCATAAAAAGATTGGTTGAATGTAATGCTATATAAATAACCGTTAATATGTGTGTGTGTATCTGTTCCTTATACGTTTCCACATTACTTGATCAGTCAGCACCAAACTTGACACAATGATACAGGATGACATGAAGAAAGTTAGGAGGGGGTTGGACCCTCCCCATTTAATTTCATATCTGATTTCAGAAAAACTACCAAATCAGCACAACTTGACACAGTGATACAGGATGACATGAGGAAAGTCATGGTGGTTTTGATCCCTTCTATCTAATTTCATATTGATAGAATTCTTGAAAACAGTATGTCTTTCTTTTCAGTACTGGTACTTTTATGTATTTTTATTGCACTTTTAATGTTTATTATATTAAGTAAAAATGTTGAAGCACAATTTCCTATCCTTTGTTACAAACGAGTTTTTATTCCCCCCTGTCCAACGGGCTGGTACTCCCAGCTAGTTTGATATATGCTTAAAAACAATAGAGTTTAGTAACAAATTTAATATTTATGTTCGAGATTAAAGAATCTAAAAATTCTTCACCAAGTTATTTTAAAAGATAATTGGACAGATCATTCACAGCACATGCGGTGAACAACATAACGTTGCAATGTCTTTAATACCGAAAGGATGTAGTTTAAATATAAAGTTACACAGTGGATTATCTTCGCTGTGCTCTCATCAGGAATCTAACCCAGAAATTTAGCGCTATAAACTCTCACACTCATCTCGCTATCCTCACCCACTTTTCCTAGCCCATAGATCGGATGAGATAAAAGATTTCAGTGGCTCTGTGGTTTAAATTATTTTTATCATATATAAATTAGCTAGAACTCTAATCGTAAAAACATAGATCAGAATTTGGAAACAGTATGGGTAGCCCAATTTACTATAGCCCACCAGTAGCATGTGGTGGGCACAGTACAGATAGCCCATTGTATAGCTTTGTGCTTAAAATTAGAAACAATCTACAAGAGCTATTTATTAGAACGCTAATAGATGGTGCCACTTACCACAGTATGGGAGATTTCCATTCCAGGATCCATCTGGCATACAAACACGACTAGGTTCACTGCAAAAAAAAAATCAACACATAGCACCTATTACAAAACATCGGGTGTTAGTGATTTATAACCTTAATAATTAAAAATGAAGATTTTCATTTAACTTTTCAACTGTTTATCGCAGATTCAAATACAGTCAGTAAAACAACTTTTTCGTAAATTATATGAAGTTATGTTTTATGCATTTATTAAATACTGTACAGATGTTATTCAAACGTGTAGATTATTTGGTATTCAATTTGTTTTAGCAATTACGACACCGTGACATTATATTCGTTTGTGCATTTCTGCGTAGATTTGTCAGACATTTCGAAACCGATCTAATAAGTAATGTTTATTTCCTTTAACATTATTCACTAAAATAAGTTGTGTTTATGAAAGCCACAAATTTCTCAAAGGTGGGATAAGATTATAATGAAATAAACAAGATTTTGTGTATTGCAATATTGTATCCATAGTTGATTTTACAGCGCATTAAAAATAAAGAAACGGTGGATTACTCCTCTCAAGTTACTGTTCTACATCATGTTGCAAAGCGTTGAAAGTTAAGAAAATTAAATAGCCTTTGCTATTATGAGCTTGCTTACAAAAATTAAATATATAATTCTAAACCAAGGATGATTGCACATATAGAATTGGCAGTTAAGGTATACACATACAAGTTACATAGCGTTTGTTCGTTTTGGATTTCGCGCAAAGCTACGCGAGGGCTATCTGCGTTAGTCATACCTAATTTAGCAGTGTAAGATTAGGAGGAAGGCAGCTAGTCATCAGCACCAACTGCCAACTCTTGGGCTACTATTTTACCAACGAATAGTGGGATTGACCGTAACATTATAACGCCCCCACGGCTGAAAGGGCGAGCATGTTTGGTGTAACGGAGGTTCGAACCCGCGACTCTCAGATTGCGAGTCGAGCGCCCTAACCACATGGCCATGCGGGGCCGTATACAGAGGAGAAAAAATAAAACGAATTTGTGGGAGAGCCGTATCTGTGGAAGTGCGACAAACACACGATGTTAAGGACGCGTCATCTATGAGTTGTTTTAGAACAAAGCCACATTGGGCTATCTGCTGTGTCCACCGCGGGGAATCGAGCCCCGGATTTTAGCATCGTAAGTCCGTAGACTATCCCATCATGCATCATCTATGGGAAGAGGGATAAAACTAGTTTTAAATTAGGATTGTATGTGGGTGTTCTAATCTACAATTGCTCACGCCCAAACTATAATTCATTGTGTACAGTAAACTATGGGAAGGTGATTGCCCCTAATACACCACAGCAAGTTATCAGTCAATATGTGACTGATATAAATGGCCTTTCAATTAAAGCTTCGTGTGTTATAACCTAGCTAAGCTGAGCGAAAGTTATTGTGAGTAGGGGCCCGCGATAGACAAAATGTAGTTAAAATACTATTTTGAATTATTATTCGCTGATAACTCATATTGATCCAGTTCAGTGTGGAGTGTATAAAATATTTCCATACTAGAGACCCGCAAAACATTTGCGTCCAAATTAGCATCTTTATTACAAGAGTACTTCTTTAAATACAAGTTTCTGGAATAATACAATATAATTCTAATTGCAAACACTTGTCTTAGGCCTAACATTAGTTAAGCCTTTATTATGTATGATCTATATTCGATAAAGAGATAAATTAACACTGAAACTTGTGTACGGTTTTTGCTTTAGTTTAGTTAAGGCCGAACTTTACCGTCCTAAATTAATACTATCAATAAAAAACTTATAATATTATCCTACGACCTAACGTTAGACCTTTTTAAAAACTTTGATAAGCTTTTAATACATTGTCGTACAAGATGTCTACTAAAGTATATTTACATCTGCCTTTTCTTAACATCGTGTTTTCTTCAACTAGAGCATAATGATGAAAGTGTTCTTTAGCGTGATTTTTTAACAAGCTTTAAATTATCTTTGAAATTTATGAAAATTTTCGTTTTCTGTATGAATGTATAAATGCAGTGAATGATGCAGCTGAAAATTCAGATTCAGTTAGGTCTGTGTGTAATTCAAATCTGTATAATTAAGAGTTGCCAGTAAAGCGAAGAAATTAATCTGCCAGAGTAGGTTTAGTAAGCATAGCATATTATGTCATAAAATAACTGTCAACACTTGAGATTTATGCATGTTAACCGTAAGTCTGAGACATTCAGTGGTTGTGTTCCTTAATTCGCAATATATTTCTAGTTGCGCAAACAACAAAATAAAAATAACATAGGCAATTTTGCTAAAAATAAGACATTGAGTCAGATTACAAATCATTACAGAGCAAAATCAAAGCTACAAGTATGTTATACATTCAAGTTTTTGTTTAAAAGCACGACTTATTTCATTCAATTGTATATCATGAAAGAACAACAAATGTGTAACGTCAGTTGTGTTGTATTTCTGAACTCATCCCTTTTACTTAAATATTTCACTGGCAAAAGTTGCAGGAAATTGGAGCAAAATATATATATAATTACATTTATCAAATAAACGTTAACAACTTGATTGTAGTAATAATCTGTTGTGTAAGCATGGCCAGATAAGGGGGGATGTTGCAACTGCCCCCTTCCCCGATCAAAGGGGTCCCCCGACTAAGAGAATTTAAAAAAAATCTAAATCAAATACTTGACGTCTTATTGAATATTTTTTTTGTTTTCAACTACCATCATGACAGAGCAGTGATTTAAATCGGCTTATGAAAGCATATAAATTGATAATTTTTATTAACACGCTTTCATAGCTTTTTTTTATCAAAATATTTGTTCGGCCATTTATAAAAAGAAATCGTTGTCATTACTTCATTATAAAGATTAGAATTAGTATTTTATATATTACCTACCATCGCTTGTATTTGTGCATTGGTCAAACTGTAATTGATAGATAGAATTGAATTGTATTTGACTTATTTATGAAGTTCATTTCAGAGGCCCTCCCCCAGAATATCCCCTCCTATTTCGGCACTGTGTATATGACATTAAAAAGAAGGTACACCGGTAAATCGCTACTGCAGACTTACCCAAATAATTCATAGCCTTCATCACAGCTGTAAGTGGCAGAAGCTCCAGGCAACCTAGCTTCCTGAGACAGGGTGACTTTGGAGTATTGAGGTATGGCTGGGTAAGGACATTGTAGAGCTGTGGAAGAGAGAAATTATAAAATAGCACTGTTGTTACGCCTAAATATATTAACACTAATATATATAGATAAGTAGGTATCAAAACTTTATAGCACCTACATATAACACTAAGATAAATGTGTGGGGGAGGGAAAGTAGCAAAGACTTCTCTAATTATAACCGCATGCTGAGTTATCAGTGAAGAACATTCTTGTTCAGAAGTCTTCTGAAGTATAAGATAAAGATTTGAAATTAGTGTCCCTCGACTTCCGCGTCGCAGATAACCTATGTAGTTGCTTAGAGGCAAAAATGCCAGACAACCTACCAAACAATCTACTTCCGCATGATGTTTCGAACAGCGAAATTGCCCGTTAGCAAATGAATTCTTTTTCTGCTACTCACACAATATTCTTAACTGCATTTACTGCAATCCCTTAATAAAATACATTCACAAACACAGCTTCATTGCATAACCTGTAATACCCTGGTCTAAAATACAGACTATTGTAGCTGCAAAACAAAGCATCTGTTAAATATAATGTCTAATTTAAGACACGATCTAAACAACTATACTTTTGCACCCTTTCGATATAAAAATTAAAGCAAAACGCATGTAACAGTATAAGTGTATAAAAGTTGTAGTTAATATTTCTTGAAGCTTTTTCAATTCATCACCCTACATACGTCAAATGATGTTTATAATGGCCAAAAATTTTGACCGACATCTGATACACAACTCGTTTCTCCTTAAGTGTGTTTATTTATTAGATATCTATTGGTACTTATGTTTTTAATGGCAACTGTGGGTTTTTTTGTTGTTGTTGTTGTTATTGTTGTTTTTTTCTATTGCAGACATAATATTCTGTGACAAGTTAACTTAAAAGATTATACGCCTCAATCGTAAAATTTTGTACAACAGCTATGCCATCGAATACATCTGCTTGATTTTTTTAGCGTTTTTACGGGTAACGTGAAGGACACGTCCCCGCATCTTTTCAAGAGCAGTATACATTTTTGATCGAATAGCCTCGTGTATACCCCACCTACAGAAACACCCTCCATACACTTCTGAAACGAAAGCCACGTCATTGCAAACAGACCGTATTTTCTTCGCTATATTTTGTGGAGATGAGAATATTTTTATCTGTTTAATATGTTTCTGTATTAGTCGGGAATTAATGAAGATTTTTTTTTCATTCAACTTTTATCTCGGAGATGTACCAAGGCTTAAAAAATCGTCGTCTCTGGTTATAAGAATTTTAAGCAATCGAAGTTTTTGATTAAAAGTATTTTGTACAGGTAAATTATAAATTACTCTAACGTGTCATAAAAACAATTTATAAGATGTATTTAGCACGGGTCAATAACTGTTTTGTTTTTTTAATGATTTAGAAACCATTGATATATTTTCTGATATCCTTCCAAAAGTCAAAAACGTTTTTTTTAATTTAATTTTGGTATATTTCTATGTGTGTGTATTCCTGTTGTCCATTCTAATTAGTTTGTAGTGATATTCAGAATTAAAAGTTGGCTGCTCATGACGTTATGGATGATTGACGTATAATCTTCAATCATTCCGGTTGAACCGGTCATACAGGTAACAACTGAGAAATTAAATAACAGCATCAGTTTGAAACTAAGAACATGTCTAAAACAAGAAGAGACTGTCAGGTTGTTAGCGTTTTGTTTATAAACTGCGTTACGTACATGTAAGTATGTTACAAACAGGTTCATGGAACTGCACGAGGTCTCCCATTTCCGCGATCATAGGTAATAGTAATTTAAAATAAAATAATGTTTTGAATTCCTTTTCTACCCAGCTACAGAGTGTATTTTATGTTTCTTTTAAAATAACCGTTAAGCTTTACGTATTGTTTTTTAATCACACACTTAGTGTAAGCTAAAAATGTACAGTTAGTGTTTCTTGATTTTCTAGTTACCCACAATGCAACAGTTACTAAGCTTCAAATATTTTATAAATGACCTATGGATAATATATTACTGGGTAGAATAAATAAATTTGTCAGTGATCAGTCTCGTATTCTAGCTAACAAACAAAACCACAAGCAAAAAAGTTTGTTTGTTTTTTAATTT